TGGTGATTGTTGTAGCCCCAAGTCACTACCCAGTCGTTGGTGGCAGTTGCGACAACCACCCCGATCCACCCAATAAAGCTGCAGACAAATCCAGCCAGGTGCAAGCAGGTGGCCACCATGTCGCTCCCTTAGCCTAGCAAGGCGGGCAGCTGGAAAGGAAAGCACACAGAAAGTTTCAGTCAAGCAGGGTGCGGAGCTGGGGGCGAGCTCGCTGCTGCAGCCCGGCCGCCGGGGCCGGGAGCGCCGGGAGCAGGGGGGAGGAGCGAACAGGGAGCCCCAACTTCTCCCCCACCGGAGGGGAAGGAGGATGCGGAGGGGAGGAGGTGGGGAATTACATCCCCTGCCGTCCCAGCCTGGAGAAGGAGGGGAAAGGGACTTGGGAACGGTAAACGCTCCCGGGCACGTAGCCCCCTCTAAGCAGGAACTCGGTGCCTTTTCGTTAACAGAACCGATCTCTCTTTCTGCAGCTGAACTGATGCCTTAAAACGCAAAACAGACCACTGCACTTAAATGCGCACAGTCCGACTACTGAAACTTCAGAATAAAGAAATGCAAATTAGAGCAGTGTTGCCGAGCCGAGCACGAATGATCACACCGGCATTTTCTGATGGAAACACAGGGCAAGAAACACAGGCAGAGCTGCGCGAGAGATGGAGTCGATCAGCTCGTCAAAGCCAGCAGCAGTCCTGCAGGAAGCAGCCAAAATCAGGCTCGCTTCCTTTCTTTTCTGGTGTTTTCAGTATCTGCAAAAACATAAAAGGCACATCACTACATTGTCTCTACTTGTGCCTGAGTTTTCAGAAGTACTAATAACACCCAGAATGTCGCAATAAATTTTTCAACAGCATCTCATTTCCACTTTTGAGTCCTAACATTTAGGATAAGCGGCTTTTGACTCACACTCATTAGGTTTGCAAAGTCGAGTCTGTTCCATAAAACAAGGAACAGTACACTTCAAAATGTCACGAGGAGAAAAGCTTCACACACTGCTCTGAATCAGGAGGAATATCTAGGCAGAGGGGATATTTTCCTAATTTTACTTTGATTTTACAAACATATTACATTGTTGGATGCCAGCACATTCCTAATAAAACACGCACGCACGGGTGCCTCCACCAGCACTTACATTTTGCAAAGGTTTGGAGCCCGGCAAATAAAACATGCCTAGAGAGACCACTAGTGGAGTACTTTTAGCATTGCATTAAAAAAAGGCAAAATCTGACAGGAAGAAAATTAGAGAACGATAAACTTGCTCTATTCCTACAGCTGTTAATGAAAAAGAAATACTGGAAGCTACACTGCAGTCATAAGATATCATGAATAAAATACATGCTCCTCTTCACCGAAAAGGGTTTTTCTCCTATTCCCTAGCAAACAGACTACGGATAAAACATGAGTAACAAGCCCATTCTAAGCTTCATTTGACATGTGCTCTTTAGCTTCAAAATTCAAGGGCACATGGACACAATTTCATTTTGTCAAAGCTTCCTCTAAACACTGCAGTTACTACATAAATAGTACTACAGAGTCGATAATTACCTTTAAGTAGTAGTAAAAACACATATGAGTTTGTTATAATATATACAAATTTAAGAGCTGTGTTCATGTTTATTTTATATGGTCGATTATACTCCTCGGGGTTTGCTCTATCCCCAGTCCATTGCAGTTTCGCGCAGCCGCGCTGCCAGCTGGCTGCCTTTCCCCGGACTTTGGTGGTGCTTCCCCTGCCAGTGGTTGCACCTTTCTGCACAGCTTATTCTGCTCTGCTGCCCCTTTCTGGTGGAGCGTGCTGTTACTTACAGACAACTCCCTTTTTGGCTTTGTCTGCGAGTCCTAGATGGATTGAATCTTTCTCCCCAGAGTATGCTTACTTGCTTATTATTCAGGAGACAAACTTGTCACCTCTTGAGTGCAACTGGTATTGTTGCACTCCTTGGAGCATGCAATTGCCTTCAACAGGCCAGGCATCAGCTCCCGAATTTGAAATGAGACAATCCGACGAATTAACACCTTCCTGCCTCTCCCCTTCGTTGACTCAGTTTACATTTTTTCAGTCTAGCGTTTTCTCCATCCAGCTTTATAACACTACGTAAATTAAACAGACATCTGATCTGTTTGTGGCAAGTATAAATGCTCATAGCTTAATACTGGTTTTCAGTCAGGACCAGATGCAGGATACTTTGGGATGATCAGTTCCAACCTCTATCATCTAATGATACTGTAACCGTACAGTCTGCTGCAGCTTGCAAACATGCATATGCTCTAAAACATGCTGATACATATATTTCTGATGTACTTAAAGTATTTCATTTTTCTTCAGAATAACAGAAGGGAAATGTTTGCAACATTTTGATATTCCATTTCATCACACGGCTGAGATTAAAAGCATCTTACATGGGGACAATGCAGACGTGTCCTGATGCATGAAAAGAAAAAAAAAATTTTTTTGTGTATTATGTCCCAGGATATGAATTCTTAGGCCGTGGACCCACCCTAATGTAATTCAGCTACTGCAGTTTAACAAGCCTCCACGCGCCAACTGAGCTGCTTCCTGTGGCGAGGCACATACTCTCGAGAGCTGCACAAACTGACAGTTATTCACCCCGTTTGAGGGCAGTATCTTCCAATTCAGATCTGGCAAACACTTCTATGGTGCTAATTCAATCATCTCTTACAGTTGTGAGACCAAGTCCTTAACCACAAAGGCTGTTTATGCTAAGGTCAATAAAATAAGAAACAACGATGACCTCAAAGCTATACGCTAAATAAACCGAAGGATTATTTAGGGTAATATTCTTAAAATTTGCCATTTTAAAAGCAATTGCTACCCATGCATTTACTTCAGCAACAGGGTGAACATCTTAAAAGCATTGTAATCTTTTCATTTTGTTATTTAAGCATTTTTCCCTTACCAGCATCTAGTGTTTTCTCTGACAAAGGACATTAGTTGCAGTTAGCCATACCTACTTAGGCAAGCTATCAACACCCTATGGTTTTTTCATGTAAGTGACTCACCGAAACTTTTTCTTCATGTGGTTTTTCAGTATGCTAGCTTCTCCCTTATTTGGAAATACAGTAGAATACAAATATAGGAGGAGATGCAGAAATAAACATGATGCACTGAAGGGTTAATCCTTTAAGTTGCGTAGCTAGTTGCTCATTTTCTTCCACACCAAAAGCTGAGCTCATGAAAACATTACTGATTTCATCTGCATTCTGTGTGGGGCTGCATCATTTCCCTATCTATAGAATAAGGCTAAGTTAACTGTACACAGTAACGTTGAAGGTCTGCGAAACTCTGAAACATAACGAGGATTTCCCGTGTACAAGAGCAGCACCTTAAAACAAGGACAACATGCTTTCTGCTCTGTCAGAAAACCTCAGTATGAATAAAATCACCTAGAAAATCTCCACAATTTTATTATTTGTAAAAGTTTTTTTTTTTTTTTTTTTAAACCAGACTCTGCAAACGTCTTAAAACGGCCAGTAGAATATGGCCTACTGTTAAAACCGGAGGATATTCAACTTAAATGGAAGAACCATTCCCATATGGTTAACAGGAACAGCTCCCTCTTTTCTTGTTGCCTCCTCCCAATCTTTCCAATTCTTAATTTTCTGCTACTTAAGCTTCCAGACGGTAAAGGAAAAAATTGCTTATAATCGTGTGATTTACAAAAATTAGAAACTCCTGAAAGTTACTGCAGGGCAGATTTTCAATTAGCAATGAATACAATTTTTTTTTCAGGAAAATAAGTATAAACCTCCTTTTTATCTTAAATTCTTTATAAACCTCAGCATTTTCTAGAATACGTACTTTTAATCTTATTAATTACTAATCCATTACAGAGAGGTGTGAACACCTGAAATATTGCTGGAGTGGTCAACAAAAGCTGTGCACCACAGAACATGCTCAGCAAACAAGGACTTAAGCTTACATGTATAAATGCAAACACCAACTTTATGTCAAAATATATAGAAATGTCAGTGTCGATATTTTCACAGAGCTTTAGCGAATGATCTCATTCTCGGGGAGGGCTAGTGATCTTACATAGCTTGCTAAAACCTGCTTAAGGCAACGGGAGTTCTGTTAGCAAATTTCAGCGTAATCAGGTTTTAACTTACTGTAATCAAAGCAAGGAAGACCCTGTCCTCCTTGGAAAAGTAGCATTGTTAAACACCTTCCAAAATGTCAAGTTTATAAGTCAAGGTACAAAAATATTATGAAGATAAGTTTTTTGACTTTACAGATCTTTATTTGTTTTGAATCCACAATCTATACAGGGTATTTACAGGGCATGAAAATGGATAACAGCACAAAATACAATTGAGGTATAAGCTAAGAGCACAGTATGTCATGTTTCAATAAATATAATTCAAAATTTGTAAACTAAGTGACCAGATAGATGCATCTTGTTTACTAAAATCATACAAAATATCTGTTAATCTCACGTGAGGTAGAGGACAGTTTTGTGTGTCATGTAATGCAACCACAGCAACTCTAGCAATAAAACTGTACATCATTGGCAAAGTATTAAAAATTGCTGAACGCACTGATCATTTTCTCAGGCTTTTACTACAGTTTCAGCATCGTTGTTCAACCTGTTGCCTTGAGCTAAGACAGACTCTTTGTGTTTGCAGCTATTTTCTGTAATTAAGATTAATTATACTGGCATGTCAACATCAATAAATACCTTCAAGACTGAGTGTGAAAACACAAAAACAGGTTTCATCAAATGCAGAAGGCAACATAACTGCAACAAAATATTTTAGACCAACTCTTTTTATTATTTCCTAGAATTATTTTAAATACAGTAAAACTGTGCTTTCCTTTAAGTGAGGTATCTATATTCGATGAAAAAAAAATTTCAATTTTGTTACATTGAATCAATTTTCAAGTAGCAAATTAATTTTCAAAACCATTTGTTTGCTGTGCTTGATGAAGTGCTTCAGACTCGTATTTTTCAAGCATTTTCCAACTGAACTGCTAACTCTGAAAAAAACCTCAATTTTCCAAATAATGGAGATACAGTATGAAATCATCAGGCAATTTGTAAGCAATAACTGTTTACTTTCACAAAAGCTAAAAAAATGGATGTCTTTTTGATATAGAGATATGCAGCAAATAAAAAGGTCTACAAGTTTCCTGTAATAAAAACACTGCTGACTACTTCTCAAACTACACACGCAAAGAGAGAGAGAAAAAAAAAACACATATGGAAATCTGCAGCTTTCTGTTGCTTACTGTTGACATCTTACACAAAAATACTGAAATGTTGCAAGCCCAGATTAACAGGTAGGTGTAGTTACGTCTTTTGTTGATTTTACCATACTACAGAAAACTCTGCGGTGTGGATAAATTACATGAATTAACTGCAGAAAAAATACAAAGTTGTTATCTTTACCGACAAGCCAAAATACATATTCTACAAACAAGGGCATTTTAGGAAGCTGACCATGACAGCATTTCAAGGCCAACTTCACAACTAATTCTAGGAAAGTTTTCCAAAAATTTTGTAACACATTATAGCTATCCCCTCCCCCAATACAAATCAAGAGCGTATGAATAAACAGCTGCGACTTCTAAAATATGGGCCAAGGCATATTTTTTCAGGCCACCAAGAGCTTTATGCTCCCACTCAACTTTTCCTACTTCACCAATTGCATTATGCCTTTACTATATACAAATGATTTTACACCTAAGCTATTAATATATTAAATATAGAATAAAATTAGTTTAAGAATGTGAAACACAACTACATGTCCCTAAATACTCAAGCCAAACAATATGCTTTACAAAAACTAAAACACAGATTTAGTTAAGTTTGCAGATTTAGATCGCTTTCGTCTAGGGATTCCTGGTTACACTGCGAACAAGGGTGCTTTCAGACTGCCAATGTAACAAAAAATTTACTCTGTCTTAAGTTCTTACATTTTCTTGCTGATTAGAGTACACAACGCACGTGAACATTCTCCTTTAAAAAGTATAGGAGCAAACTAGATATTCACCTTGAATCCCAATTCCTTTGTTTCAAAAAGTGCATTAGGCAACTTTGATTCTAGTCTAGGTGTTCAGATGCAGCTTTCGCAACTTTTAAGATTATGGACAATTGTAGGATTTTTTCCTAAAAGATTAATGTCACAACGGTCTGGGCAACAGACTTCCTGGCAAGATCAGCAAGCAAAAACTGAATGCAAAACAAATATTAACACACAAAATGAGCATTCTATGACTAAAGGCAAGTTCCTATTGACAGAATTCATTTCATTAAAGTGTGCCCTTAAGTGGGGGTCCTTAAGCGTGCATTCCAAGTTTCGATATTAGGTCGTAAAATAAACCATTCAATATAACAGGTATTAGGTAGTGAAAAAAGGTCAACGTAACTATTTGTTCTAGAACTTATACAGTATTATTTACAATTTACTAATAAACTATCTTTCAATGACTGTGGACACACAAAATCTATGGCACATTTATGTATACATTATTACTTAAAATTGGTATAAAATTAAGTCTACCCATATGAAAATTATTTGTTATGTAAAGAATCTCAAAGTAACATTTAAGAATTTAAGAGGATTACAATAATTTAAAATGCATTCTAAGTTCAGAATAATTGAATGGAATATTTACAAAGCTCCTTTTAAAGTCATTTTAATAAATGCTCAATTAGCTTTTTCAGCCAAATGTTTTAAAAGCATTAGGAGGCCTTATCTACAGCTGGAATTACTAAACCTTGCTATAGCTGCTGGAGTTCTTTTAACAGTGAAAATGTAAGTACATACTACGGCCACCAGCATTTTAACGGTCTACTGCATAAGCCAGTTGAACAGAGGGTCGGCAGACGGTTGAAGTGCTGGCTAAGGCACAGAAACCCTGGCTACGCTAGTATGCCACTGCAGTTAGCCCTGGTGAAGATCAACCAGCGGCAAAACGGGAAATTTTGGCTGAAATCACATAACCTTGACAGAATCTGAATGAAAACTGAATATACAGTATTCTAATAAAATAATCCCATGAGGATTCTACACATTCAACTGCTAATATATAAAATACTGCGGTAAACCAGTTACTTCAGCTATATTAAATGAGTCTGTTTGGCTTTATCTACATCGACAATTGAACAAGTTTGGTTCAAAACAGGTACTGAAAAGTAACTAGAAAGGATACGTTTTGATCCTTTGATGATACCCGGATGAAACGGTGTTTTTTCCCAGAGCAGTGTTTTCTTATTTGCCAATCTAGCTAATCCAAGTTCAGCTCTGTCAATCAAATTAGACTACTTCAAGCTCCAGTTCCTATTAACCATGCTTCTACCCAGATTCCTGTCTACTCTCCCCATAGCCATGTTTTTTGGTTATTATGATAATAAAACATTCACTGTGTTTTTAAAGCAAGTGGTGGATACACAACAGGAATCATTTATACTCAGCACCTTTCCTTCCAAACCATCAGTAGGCTGTGAAAACAGGCTTTTTTTTTTTTTTAAAGCAATGCTTTATCCAAAAATATTGTTTCATATTTTTTGTCTAACCTAATATAATCCTCAGTGTAAATATGACACAGTCCATAAGCAAAATTATGCAGAGCTATAAAAGAATCATTCTATGACTCCATGACATTTATTTTTAATTTACCATCCCACTTCTCATTCAATTTAAGGTCTGTGCAATTTTATCTTTCTTTGTATACACAGTTCTATCATACCACTGAAAGAGAGAAGAAAAAGAATGCGAAGCCTTCAGTTTTACTAGTTCAGAAAAAAAATTGATTCTAAGCTTTTACTAGTGGTTTCATCCAAAATTAATTGAATTTTTAAGATAATAACAATCATAAGCACCTTAAAGAACACACGAAGCTAGAGTACAGGTTAAAATTACGTAGTGAAATATTAAGACTATTAAAATATTTCTAAGCATTGACATAATCAGCTAACATCTGTCAGCTATACCAAACTTTTTGGAGAGAAGTGCAAAAATGTGTTTCTTCATCCAACTTTGTAGTCATGCATTTAACCCATCGGGAGCCAGACTTCGGAAGTACTCAAGTAAATGTATATATATATACAAAACAGAAATTCTGTACAATTACACGTTTTCAAATTTTATAGCTTAACAAACATGCTGTATTTCTTAATTCATGGTAATATTACCATGCCATTCAAATACAGAAACTATCAAAATGATTTTCAAAGTGCCATATCTCAGAATTAGAATCGCCTAAATAATTACCACAATGTCAGTTAAGGCCTGCTCTATGCAATGGATGAAAAATCCAGAAGTTGGCAAGAAGCTGGAAGTGTGGAGGCATGGGATATTAAAGAAACTAATTTGTATTTTTTTATAATTTTTTTGAGAGCATTAATATTTGAAAAACACTGTTAGTCAAGCTTTCTCACTCTCTAGGAAGAAAACCCCTACCTTTGCGCCTTTTATTAACGTTTCCTTCATATCTGCTATATAGAAGAAAACAAAATAAAATAGGTGAATTTTTGAAGATCCCATTTTAATTGCTGTTCTTCACAAAAAAGTTTTCTTCTTCCAGCATGGTAACTAAATGCTGGTTCTAAAACTCTTTAGACTGATGCTGAGTTGTGAAATAGCAAATAATGAAAAAGATCAGCTTGATAATTCACACAATGAAATTATGGGGAAAAAAACTGAGCTGGTAAATTATCTTTCTTCATCATTCTGGCGATTTTGAGCATTATCCTGCAAATGAAAAGCTACCTTTGCTTTTCTGGGAGAGTGAGAACATATAATTCTCTCCGAAACCCACACTCTTTTTGATCTTGGAGAATTCCAAAAAAATTTTAATGTACTTTTTTAACTGGATGTGCAATTGATAGCAAAATAAAGACCACCACATATATTTTAACATACAATGCTGTTTTTTAAAAGGTACAGAGTCCTCAAGATTGCATTAGAAATAGACAGAAATTGATCATTCTAAATCAAAAAAAGTTTCATATTTTTCATAGTTTGAGAAAAACATCAGTAGAAATAAATGCAGATTTTCATTGGTTAGGAAAATCTAAAATTTTATACCTATGCTTCTATCTCTCTATCTATATACATATCTTCCTCTGGACTTGTCTGGGAAGTAGAAATCTGTAAAGACCACTCTTCTTATCACACAGATAAACTGCTCACAATTCATCAAAAAACAAAACGCCCTGTTAGAAGGACAGAGTCACGTTTCCCTCTTCCAATTTCTATTTTCCTTTCCCATTTTTTGATGATTTCAAGATCTGTAGCTTCAATTCCTTTATCATCATCTCTAACTTTTCTCTTGCCTCTCGTTCTTGTCTCAGTTCATCCTGAAGCTCTTGTCTATCTGCCTCTGCATGATCCAACCTCTGCCTCAATTCTGCTAGCTGCACAAACAATTCAGAAAGAGAGAGAGAGAGAGAGAGGGATTTAATTTTAGCAAACATATTTGTAAAGGTCAGCTATTCATTTCAAGAAGCAACTGGTAACTACACTACACATCAGACAAAAACAGATCAGTTGATCAGCTAATTTTCCACACTCAAGAGTTTTGCAGTTATCTACTACCAGACTAGTAAATGACACAAAAATGCAAAGTTGCATAAACATCAAGCCATAATAAAACCTGGAAGAGTCTTAATTGCATATATATATTAATTCCAGTTATATGAACAGTCACACTCAACCATATCAACGTGTTAAGAAGATTGTGATGGTGTCTGCATCAGACGTTTTATAAATCACAGAATAAACCACGTTTTCATTTCTCAAGTTCATTTCTCTTGACTGACAAAATATTATTTTATTTCAAAGCCTTAATGCATTTCTAGAACAAAGTAAGCCATCAGCATCGTTTTCTCATGCCCTTTAGCATAAAGGAAAGAGAATTAAGAGAACAGAGATTCAGAAAATCTTAAATATAACCCGTTGCACATTTATACATATGAATGTGAGACCACCCAGGCTTTTTTTCTGAAATATTTTGTGTTTAAACACAGAAAATTAAATAAATTTTTCATCTTTGGAGTGCAGTAAACCTCACTGAGATTTACTGTACTCCAAATTTGCTAGAGTGGCAGAAAATTTTAAGCAGACTAAATGACACCAGACATTACTGAAAAGAATATTTCTGTTACAACACCAAATAACTCCTGGTATATTGATTATAGTTAACTCTTGGTATATTGATTATAGTAAAAGCAATACTCTTCGGGTTAAAATTTTCAATTATCTTGTTTGGCACACTGTAGAATATTGAAACCTTATAACTTCGGTTATATATATATATATGTATGTATGTATGTAGGTATGTATGTATACAAAATTGGGTACCATACAACTAACTCACTTAATTCACCGACGATCCTTGAATATTAAGTCTTTCTATATATTTTTGCTATTTTATGGCAATGACATATATGACTTGATTAAGATACTATAGCTCAAGGAAGATTTTGTTAATGTAAAAAAAATTCATAAAATACACGATGAACATTCATTTTTTCATCTTCTGAAGACTGCCATTACAAATGATGCAGTTATTTTTTAAAGAACAATCTTTTAAAAAAGGATGTTCCATATTTAACGAATTACATAGGGTAAAGTAAATACTTTTGCAAGAGATTAACAAAGTTTTAATGACATTTGAGAGATGAGTGTTTGTCTAAATTGTGATGCATTCAATTTGTGGTATCTAATTTATTACAGCTTAAGAAAATGGACTTTCAAACCGTACTGAGGAACCACACACTGGAAAATCAACCTCTACAAAGTTAATCATATGGAATATTAGTAATTTCTGCCAAAGCATTTTACAAAATGGAACTATTAAGAAAAAAACTTATCATCAAGATATGTATGTCTATATGTATATAAATACTGTACGCACTTAAGAAATTATTTTGAATTTCAGGTTTTTCCTATCAGAACTTGGTCAGAGTGAGACCTGGAAAAAATCTGATGAACTTTTCAGCTGCGGGAAAGTTACTGTTGATTTGCTTATATGTATATGACCAGCAGTGGGGAAGGAACTGGAAACCAGCTATCCTCCCTACTATTGATTGAAAGGATTGTTTCTTACATAAAGGCCTCTCTGGATCTAAAAAAATCCACCTGTCTATATGAGGAGGAGTATCTATCTCGTCTAAATAATCACAAAGCACAGATTTCACTGAAAAAGAGGAAAACCAAGCATGAAAATGAAACAAGCAGGCATGTATAGGAACACTGGTGCTGGCTGAGTGCTATAAAATGTACCGGGCAAAGGAACTGCTCTCCTGATTTTAGAGAAACACCACATTCAATGCACCTTCATCTTCACTTGTATAATCAGAAATATTTAAGCAGTTCTTCGACAGTAATAAGCTACTAATATGAGTCTTTTGTCTCCACTACTTTGGTAATGTAAACTGGTGCAACTTGATAATGCCCACTGCCTGCATGATACATACTACATAAACCTGTCTCTGGTTGTTCTTTGGTTTCCAGCCATTAGGAAAGGTTCCAGTACTGGTTATACTGCCCTATTATGATTGTCAGGGAAAAGCAGCAATTAAACTAGACGATTTAATAAAGAAGTGAAGAAGGGGGAAAGACACTCAGGACATCTTCTGGCAGGTCTAGAAAGAAGAACAGACATTTAACCAAGTTCCAAATTCCATATTACCAGTATTAATTGTGCTTAATGTACAAAGAGGGTTTCTCCCAGGCCACAACCCTCAGAGAGAAAGCAGACTGGGCAATTGCTCCAAGAAGACAGCAGAATAAGGCTTTTTAAAATGCTGTATACATAGCACGGGGAGGTTATTGTTGCCAGGACTTCTGTTTAACTAGGGTACTTTTGACAACTGCCTGGAACCAAAGGTCCAAAATCCATTGTAAGACGCGACAAATGGAGAAACAAGTTCAAATAATATGTTCTGAATAGCTGAACCACAACAGAGTAAGTTTTCATGAAAGGAATGTATTTAGTTTTGTAAGTCTAACTTCAAAACAAAAACAAAAAAAAACCCAAACAAATCACCTCTTTAGGGAATAGTCTATGGTTCTTACCCTCTAAAAAAGGTAAACTACAAGCCATATAAAACATGCTGTACATAATTATCTTCATAAATTAGAACACGTTGTTACTTGCGGTGATAGGGCTTGTACCAGCTGTTTAGTAAATCAGACCTTAGTCAGAGAGGATTATTTCTGGCAGCATAGGCTAGGACTCTATTGAGTAGGATGTCATGGAATTAAATCACAGGAAGGATTTATGATGCTAGTCTCTGACCTACTCAAAAAAAAAAAAAAATGTCTCTCCAGTACTCCCTGTTTCTTATTCTGAGACGGTAAGAAAAGGAAATATAGAAAACTATGAGCAAATAACCATAAAGCTTTACTGAGCTTAAGTTTCAGATTTTATTTTAAAAAACTAGGAAGACTAGTTCTCTGTGACACAGTACAAGGCCTTTTAATATGCATTTAATCATAACTACAACTGATTTTAAAAAGGGCCCTCTCAAGACTGTCTTTGGTGTTTACTGGATTCTTCCTATTCGGATGGCATGAATAACCACCAACATAAAGAAATAATGGTATATGTTAAAAATTCTCAGTGAAAGAACAAAGTATCTCCACAGATTTTAACATATGAACCCAAGAGGCAGGAACGGGAGACCATTCCTCTTCTTTTCCAAGAGGACTTGACCAAATGCTTCATTGGAACACAGGAGAGGTCTCATCAGATATTACACAAGATTCTAACACCAAGGACTATAAGGAGCTGCCAGGTATGCTATTGACCTGGTAAAAAAGTGGCTGAGGGCTTTTTAGTTTTTTACATGAAATGAAAAAAAGAAAAAAAAGATGCATAGCTAATTTCTACAATTAAAATGAGAATGTTGAATATGGGCAAGACTGTTAAACACATAATTTGTTTTAAATAGGGAGAATGTAACAAACTACGATTAATATTTCATTAGTAATATCATTCAGATAACTGAAAAGAGACTCCTGTAACATTTGACAGGTGAAGTGTTTCTGTAAGTTGCATTCTGCATCAGTTTCAATCAAGGGAGAAGGAAATAAATATGCTATCACGGTGACCTATTTTGGTATTAGTCTATAGGATATCAAACAAGAACACATGGAGAATATGAAACTTTAAGGTGGCAGAGAACACTCCAATAAAGGTTCAGTTGCTGAAACTCTTAAAATATACTTAGCAATAGCTCCACAGTCTGATGATAAACTAAATACGGTTCAACACGAAACAAAGTTTCACTTCTCACCTGTGCCGCATATTCAGCTTCTTTGTCTTTTTCTAAATTGGAGTCACAGGTACACTTTTGCTTCATCACTTGGTCCAGTTTCTTCTCCAAGTCTCTTTGCTCAAAATAAAATTCTTCCATTCTTTGAGCATGCTCAGTCTGCAAACATTCAAGCTCTTTCTGTAAATTCTGCTGCTCTTCAGTAAGTTCCTTCATCGCTCTAGAGTTGTTCAACATCTCTACTTCCTGTCAAGAAAGAGATCACAATCTCACTCACCTTGGTTCTAAGACCAGAAAAGTCAAAAACCGACTATGTAATTTCAATGGGTATCTGGAAATAACGAGGCCAAAAAGAGAACATTCATCAGTGTATCAGTGGTAGCCTGATATTGTGTTGCAAACATTCAATTCAATATAAAGAAATTATACTTTCAAAAACAGAATTTCCAGAAACCAAGTCACAAGTGCCAGAAGTGAAACACAGAAAGCAGCAGCCCTGATTTATTAAAACAGATTCTGGAGATGAAATAAGTACATTATCAGAAAACAGAATAAAAGCGAGAAAAAAAGGCCTCATTTGTGTTGCAATTCTTTTTCCTCCAGCATTTTGATCCTTTTAAAAATGTCTGCCAATTTTTTTAAAACTTATCTACAAGTTTTGCCTCCAAGAACAGAACAATTTAAAGTAGCAGTCCAGAGATGCTATCAAAGCTCATTGATTCTCAACTTCATGTTAAAATGAAAAAAAGTATTTTATGTCTGTTAATGAATGCAAGAAATAAAGATAGTATTTAGCTAATTTAACACAGACACGAGCCAAAAATCACAAATGAACACCCGTTTCTAATGCCATCCATGACTAAAAAGATTAAAATCCTCCTAAAAGCAGGAGGTCATCAAATGGAAATAGGAAGGTGGCATTCTTTTCATAGCGGGCAGTGACGAGATCATTCCTGGAGTGCTCATGTCAGCACCTTTAAAATCTTGAAAACTGAGAAATTTTAGAGGATTTAACAAACTATATTTACAAAAATATTTAAATGCTCGGAAAAATTTTGAAGTGAAAGAAGTAGTTTTCATTTGGATAAAATAAAAGAAGAGCTACTTGCACACAGCAGTTACAAACTGAAAATATACCAATTATTAGTGGGCTCTAATCTAACAAACATAAGGGATATTAAAGATTCAGTGTCTGGATTCAAGTTGGGCACACAATATCTAGGTGCTTTGGTGTTTTCAAATGAAAGTAATCTGTGATAATGATTGTAGAACCAACAAGCTAACACTTGTCTGATGACAAAAATGAAATGCATTCAGTTTGCCACTGTACCATTTGAAGTTGTTGTTTCCTCTGCAAAATGGTATTTAGTTTTTCTTGCTGTTTAATGTAGGTTTTCATTACTTCTTCCATGATCCTTCCCTTGTCGTCTTCACAACTGATGTCTTTCATGAGAGTTGGGGACAAGGCTCGTACACGATTACGTACTTCAACACGGCTAGAGTCTCTAGTAATCTTGGAAGAAATACGTTCAGATTTGCCACCTCTTGCAGAATTAGTTGATACAGATGGATCTACAGAAAAAGACAGTACAATAATCACAGAAAGTTAATCTTTCAGAGTGGAAAAACGCAAAGCAAACTGAAGATTATAGAAAGGCCAAAAGAATTTTTGGAAGATTGAAGTGACGTGGAAATTACCACAAAACACTAACTTGACACTGAGCTTTCCAAAATTTATTACGTAGTATAAAAATTGAAAAGATTTCAACATAATTTTCACTTATAATTTATCTACTCACCTAAACGTTTATGCTGTTCCACACCAGTTTTCAAGTCAATTTTTTCCTGTTCTTCAAGAGAAAGCTCTGGATAGGAAGCAGCTTTTTTGTGCTTTCCACTACTGGGTTGCTTCTCTGACTGTCCAAGCGAGGATTTAATTACTTCTGGTCTGACTGCCGTTTTTGCAACTTCTTTATATTGTGATGCAAGAGATACATTTGGGGCAACCACTTTATCACACATGTAAAGGTAGTAACTGAAACAGTAGAACAGTAAAATTAAGAATGACAGCTAAGGTATATCAATGATGAACGATAAAGAAGAGTAAGTTCAATTGAGCATGATTTCAAACAGTACGATTTTCAAGGAAAAATAAGTACTTCCTTTCTAAGTTTTTCCTATGCAAAAGAAATCATAATGACCCACTTAATCTTTACTGAATAGATTATCTAGATATGGTTTGGAGGATTCCAAACAAGGAGTTTTCTAACATGACTGATTAAACAAAAACCATAGGAAAAATTCATACAAAGTCTTCATTTAAATGCAAAGAATGAAATTAAAATGCGACTGGATCCAAATCTCTTAAGGTCATTGCCAAGATAACGAGTATCACAAGACAGTGCTGGGGCCAACGTTGCTGTCTTCAATACTTTCCTCTCTCTTGCTTCTGAAGGAAAGCACTGACAGAAATAGCAAACTGAGGGACCATCATTGCAGCTCCACTATTTATGTGCTTGCATGGGAATTAGTATAACGCATGTGCGTTGCTTTGATGCATCCTGCTATTCAAGAGTCTGATCCCACCCAGATATAGTAAATGCATAACCACACGGAGATGCACAGCACGAAGTCAAGAAACACTTTCCCTGGCTAATGCAGATGACAAGGTGTGTAGTACATTAAGGAAATGCGTTTGGTTAAGGAAATTAATTTGGAAATTAATCATCTGGCAATTTAGCTGTAGTCATTGTTCTAATGTGGAATAAAGTCTTCAAACAGCTTTTACAAGTCTATATTGAAAGGAAAGTAAGTTGCACTCATGGTAAAAAGGCACTGTGCAGCTTGTCACATGCATGAAATTATAATAGGAAGGATTAGAAAGTAGTCATTTCTACTCTGAAAAGGGAAACTGTAATTACATTTCAATTTTATTTCCTCTTGAAAAAAATTCATACATCACAGAATGCAGTTTCAAAAATCATCATAAACAATTCATTAATATTTACACTAAAACGTACACAAAATGTAAGGATTTAATTATTCTTGTGCAATCTCTTAGAGCTTTCCTAACATTTTAGGTTGCAAGCACGTTTTTAAGTTGAAATCATCTTTAGACAGGTATGAAGTATTTAACTTGTACATACAATGCTCATATTTCTGCATAGGAAATTCGGTTACCTGGGATGGACAAAGGAGGGTGGCTGAATAGCAGTTTCTGCTTCTTGCTTTATAACTGGATACCACTGCGACAGTTCTAGGCTCTGCTGTGAATCCATCTAAAGAAAAAAATAACACTAATAGGAAGACTGCTACACTTTATTTACATCTTAATAAATCCTGCTCAATGAATGACCTTTACACCATTAATACATATTCTCAAAGGTGGGCAGCACAGACAAATTCGGGTACTGGAAAATGGAGATTCTTTGGCAGACATACAGCGTGATGCAAGCAACGGGAGTTTCTTTAATCTCCAACTTGCAAATAAGGGTAAAGCAGCAAGGAAACAAAAAGGAAAATCTTTACAAATCCATATAAAATTCTACTGAGTTTCCAAACTCTGCCAGAGGCATGCTACAAATACTTGGAGAAACAGAAAGCAGAAACTAGGATTCCCAAAAGGTTGTAGGAGCCTTGATCTTTTGCAATAAAGTATCCACCTCTATAATGCGCTTGCCAGATACTTTATTACAAACAAAACCTATCAATAAAATACTCTTGTTACAGTGCACAGAAATTTCTTTAGATGTCAAGAAGTTTTACTACAGAAGCATACAAGCTGCTTGCAGTAACATGATTACTCTATTTCCTTTGCACTAACAACACAGAATTACTTTTCATGTATAAGAATACAGTATCTTAAAAGACTTCTGTCTATTTCATATCTGAACAGGAATTCTTGTTCCTTTTGTCTCAATAATTCTTTTTTTTTTTTTTTTTGAAATACTCTTTAATCAAAGTTTCTTACTGCTCCACTCCAAAGATACTATTTTATGGGAAAGGCATCTCATCATACATACAAACGACACTCACAGCTAAGAAATCAATTTTTAATTTCACTGTATTAAGATAGCCTTGGGAATTGGGAGGATGTCTACACAAACTGAAAACTCTAGAAATATTAATGTAAGCGGGTTTTTTGGGGAAGGGAAAGTTGCTTACTTAAAAAAAGGGGGGAGGAGCAGAATGAAGTCTGCTACTCTCCAAATGTGACAGCTTGTCATGCACCCTGTGAAATCACTCTTTGGTAATAAAATCATAATTGAATGTTTAGATAATAAAAATTAGCATTAGAGTGAATAATCTCTAGAAAAATGGCCTCACTCTGAAACTCACTTTTAACTTCTTTCTGCTTATTGAGATCATTCTAATAATTTAAATACTGTACATACATTATTCTAGTTATGCTACAGCTACTATACGGTAGCCCAATTTCAACTTACACTACTTCTGAATCACATCTTTTTCATGTTTTAGGACTGATGTTTTAACATGTTTTCATATTTATATATGAAATTATGTATCAGGTGATTCATATTTTCCAGTTTTTAGTTCAGACTTTTACATTCTCACCTATTTCAAATGGAAACTGGCTTCTGTGTCTACTCCATTAGTGTGTCTCTTGCAAAAGAATTTTAAAATTTGACTTAGGAAAGAAAATGAAAGGTAATCTTAAATGAAGTCTTTTTCTAACACGTGATTCCTCCTTCATCATCCAGATTAATAAAATAGAGAAAAAGCTTTTATTTCTAAATATACAGGTATATATCGTTACTGAAGCATCTGCTTAGTTTAGATGTTCTTAACTAATTATATAGATGCAATATCGTCAATCTGGTAAATTTACAGTTGAACTACTTCTACTTAACCTGACCGAAAAGCCTACAAGGAAAAAAAAAAAAAAAAAAAGATGTCTTATCTTTCCTCCGGTTAGTTATACAAGCTATTCTTTAAGAAAAAAAATCCAGAAACTTAATTTAAAAAAATCCATCTAAAACTGAGTAGACATCTAACACAAATTTGTACTATGACTATGTTCAAAGCTTGAGTCAGGGATTAAAAAGAAAATCTCTGGTCCAGTTATTACGCACACTAGTAACTCAAGAGACCCTTCCTATTCCGGGAAAGCTTACTTTGTAGATTTCTTAACAGATTTGCCATGTGAATGAAAGAAAAAACTGTTACGTAGTTCAGTGCAAAGACAGTTCCATATAAATGGATAGGTAGTCCTAATCGTTAAAGCCAGTAGTTTTCCAGTACAGATAGGATTTACAGAAATATTCAGAAGAGATGTTAACTCTACCCATTGGGAGCATTTCCCCATGCATAACAACCAACTCAAAAGAATTAGTATAAGAAGCAAGACAGTGTAGTACAGAGTGATTATCAGAAACTGTCGCAAAGTCAAAGAGAAAGAGGATCTGACACCACAGAGAACATCAGAGATTTAACAAGAGTTGTTTCAATGAGAAGGTGGGTAGCACACTGCAGAGCCCAGAACTCAAGCGAAGATGAGAAACTCAGTGACAACCATACATACTACTTACAGCTTTTTTATTATCACGAAGAAGATAGAGGAATTAACTTTATAAGTATAGTAGGTGAGGGCCTAGGCTGTTTACTCTTAAAACACTGAGAGCAAAAGCATACTTATACTGTGAGGTGAGTAAACCTAGAGCTAAGGAGAAAGGCGATTTCACAAATAATTTATTATTACTACATTGGAGAGTCTTGTTTTCGCTTTAGGTCTTATTTTACAGACAAGCAATTATTTCCATCTCTTATTTTTCTCTCTAAAAGAGAGGGAGGGATAGAGAGTTGGCCAAGGACAACCGTTCTTCTTGGACCCTTCAAGATAACCTCAAAGATGTCTCAAAACTTCAGAGGATTTACTGCTTCTCAACAAAGAAGGTAAGAAGGTGGTAGAACAGCAAGTAGAATATCCTATAAATGCATTTGCTTAAGAGTATAAGAAAAGTATAAGAAAATGTCTATACGTTGTATCTTATACCTCTCATACCACAGAAGCCAGGAAAAGACAAGACTACTGAACAGCACAAGCTTCTCCAGTACAAGGGAACAGAGGCATTGTTCCAAACACTGCCCTATTAAATTCTTCTAATCTTTTGTACTTTCCAGGTGAATACCTATGAGACACTCCCTGCCCCACCCCTAAAAAAAGAATTAAAAAAAACCCACTTTTTTGTTTGTTCAAATTTTCATGGAGTTTATCTATCGTTCTAATTTCATGCGCTTCTTTATAAGAACTACGTGGGTCTGTAATGGAAGACACCATAAAGTGTTTCTCCCTTTCATACGGACCTGTTCAATAACATTATCTGTTCAAACAATAGCATAGGGGATGCAACAGGGGAAATAATCTTCCACATGCATTCCCAGAATACTGCTTCCGGTTTCACAGTAGCAGATTTCCGACCACGATATCTTTCATGTTTTTGAACTTCCTGTATACACATCAAAAACCAAGTGAAAAGATAATCAGTATCTCTTCAATGTCTACAACATGAAAGGTCTCATGGGGGTGAAGAGGGAAGACTATTTCCCCCCTTGTAGCCACTATGCTATTGTTTATTACCTATATTGGCATTACAAGAATAAAAACTATCATGATAGTCTATCAGATGAAAGTGAAGTCTCCTTGCTATGAACTTTGCTGCATGTCCAACTAATTCGGCATGTGAAAGCATGACAAATTGCAGACTTTTGTCAAAGCTGATCTGCTAAAATCCCTTACTGCAGACTAGCTTAACTGTAAAACTATCTGTTTCTGTAAGCCTTTCTGCAATACTAACTTTGGAGAAGTTTGTTCTGAAAGGCGCCAACTTTATACGCTCACCTATCTGGATTGCTTTTGCTGCTGCTGACTTTGAAACCCATGACAAAATATCCAACAGGCAAAATGGATATTTAAGCAAAACAGTAGTCAGCAAGCAGACCTATAAATGCCAAATACAATACAATTAAACATAGCGGTAGGGGAGGAACTATTTCAAAACCTCTAAGTTTAGATTATACCCAATAAAACTGTATATTCCATGCACGGAAATATCAGTGATGTCAGGACCCCAATGTTTCCCGATTTTCATCTAAAAATGGGGATGCTCCCTGAATCTCCCCTTAAAATCTTCTTCCTTGAGCAAAATAAAATTATTTCCCCGGTAACGTTCAATATTTACCTGGTGCGTGTCTTTTTATTTAAATTAGTAGCTCCCTGTGGTAAAGATAAGCTCTGTATTTTTGAAGTACTGTGCAGACTTGCAGCAGTATTTTAGGAAAAAACACAATGTCCATTATTAACAATTGTCAAGAAACTGGCCTACAGCTCATTACTTGGAGTGATTTAAAACCCCCTTTTTTGGCATATTTCTCTATACAACCTGTTCAACAAAAAGCTATTACCGAACAAGCAGCCTTGGCTTTTAAATAGCAACTTACCAATGCACCATTACCCTACATGCAAAGTCATGAGATGTTCCTGGGTGTTGAGCAAGCTAGGTAGCCATACACCACTCGTGTATGTGCTGGAGTTAAAATAACAATTGAAGAATTAATTTACAATACTTGATTTTCAAGTTCCTTTCTGCTTTGCTCAGCTGCTGCAACACACGTGGTTTAAAACAACATACTCAAAGGTCAAACAGAAGAAAGAAAATGTCCACAATAGCTCTAAATTTTCCAGAGATTGCATATTTAAAAAAAGAAAAAGAACCAACAAAACCAAACCAGCTTGAATGAAATTACTTATAGCTCAACGGGGAAAGAAATTACTGTACCTTTGAACCTGAGAAGTCTATTCGCCATGGTGGAGAACTCTCATAAATTTAACCGATACTTGATTTGACAAACATTCACATTTACAAAGACAAATAACACACTTCTAAGCTAAATATTTACTTGTTATCGGAAGGAAATTTACAAGAGTAAGTGAACTTACTTTGGACCGAGTTCTTTTCTGATTTTTCTCACTAAATTTCTCCTTCATTTCCTCCAAGAGATGCTTCAGTTCCCTCTCCTCCGATGTTCCTAAGTATTTTTGGTTAATATGAAGGTAGCAATGCCATTTGGCTGATTCAAAGCCCCAGTGACAGGTCCTTTTATCAGGGGATCTATGTGAATGCATCACAAACGTCTGGGGCGAAAACATTCCATAGCACTCCAAACACTGGATACAGGGATCATCCGGCTGCAGGTAGAACTGAGGTGCAAACAAACCCTGGCATTTGCCCAAGCACTCATGCTCTACTTCAAAGGCACTGCCAGACTCTTTCAACTGGGCCAATGTGCTCTTCGCAGGGAGAAAGCTGCCATTTTGAGGAAAAGTGCGAGGACGTAATAAAGCATTGCATAGTCTCTGAGCGTCAGTCAGCGTAATTAGCCCACAGGATGGAGCATTAAATGGAAGAATTCCCAAAACCTTCAGAATGTGAAGCTGGTCGGACGTGCACCTTGAGCAATATATATACAGCTCGTCACACACTGTATTAATCTGTTGCAATGAAAAGTCTCGGAGAACTGAATTCAAAACTTGCGGCAGGCAAAGTCTCTTTTCTCCTCCAACTTTAAAACAAGAAATAGATTCCCCCTCCAATATAGTCTGAGTGAGTTCTGTAGAGCTGTCTGGAGGAATGAGCAGTGGACCAGAAAGTATTTGCGGTGATGGAAGAGGCAAGAAGACAGTGGGTGACATACTTTCCTGGGAATAACGAGCTGAAAAAGCTGCTGGCCCTCCCAGTGAACTCTGGCTGCTTAAGTGGAACTGTGCCAGCGTGTGTTTCAAACCTGGATTTAAATTCAAAGGCTCAGATATTGAAGCACTGTTTGGCTTGGCGTTTTCCCCATCAGCCTCCACAGGAGTTTCATCATAGTCATCCAAGTTTTCCTTCTTTATTGTTGGCAGTCTATTTATTACAACTCGTACTTTGCTATTTACATGCATTTCTGTCATTACTTTTTTTATTGCAGGACTCTCATCCTCGTGGACCCCACTCCTTTTTTGGTCTGAACCTAGACCGAGATGGAAGTTTGTTTGCGGGCTTTCCATTGCTAAACGCTAGAACTTTTAAGCAAGCAAATCTAGAGTGTGCATTTTCCTGCTTGCTAATACAAAAATCAATTTTAAATGATCTTGACTACTTCACACACGCCAAGCTTTGCACTCCTTTCAGTAAGTTAATCCTTCAGCCTCCAGGAGTAAAAACTGTAGCCCCTTTTGCATGTAATACCACAGAATTAAGAATGGAGAGGGTAAACAACATTTTCTTTTAGGTTTAAAAGTATTTGTCCAATTTTCTTTTATACAAAACACATTGCAATATGCATATACAACGATTTTCTTTGTAGCCTACTCAGTAGTTTGCACAGTAGTTTCGTATAGTCTTTCAGTAAAAAATGATGAGTTGATGCAAGAGCATCCATCCTCGGTCACTTTTTTCCCCTTTAAAAAGCATACTGGCTTTTCAAACAAGCCTCTTGTTTAAATACCAAAACAGAAAAATGCCCACA